TCCAGTTCCCATGATTCCTAATACTTATTGACCATATCGGCAGAACAAGGGAAGGATGAATGCCAGCTTCAAATGTGACCAATGTGCAGCCATCAGGTCAACCAGCGATGTCATCAAAAGATTCTCAGCGTGCTGGGCAGGTCAGATTTGCGCCGAATGGCCAGACTCGTGATGTGAACAAAGGATCTTTTGGATCAAATGCTGGTTCTATTGCAGTTGGATCTGCTGCTGATGGTACTGAAATGCTGAGTAGCTTGCTTGCTTCTGCTAATTCTGAGCAGCAAAAACAGATACTTGAAGAGCTAGCTTTTGGGGTGTGAGTTAGGCCCAAGACCTAATTTAATAGTCACAAATCCCATGTTTTATCCATGGGATTATAATCCCTTATCCTTGTTACCAAATGACCATATCAGTCTAAGCACTAGTACGGTTGCCAAAGATAAGTCTAAGACAAAGTGGTAACGATCAGTACTGTCAACGGATAGAAAACATTTCGGATCAACATACTAACTTGCACGGTCACGAGTTATGACAAAAGCATACCTCAAAATTATGTAAGTAAACAAGGCTGTGAAGAACAGTTTTGTTTGGTTCAAGATTGAAAACGTGAGTGAATCAAGATTTTTATATGAGATCTGCAATAAGCTGTTTTGTAGTGCATAGATAGCAGCAGGCAGTCCAGATGCAGTCAAAGAGCCAAATAAGGTCCACTCCCTGTAATTTTTCTTCAAAGTGCCTTCTTTTGCCATGAGAACAAGAGCACAAATAACCTGAAAAGTTGGAAGGTATATGCAAGTAAATATGTGCACCCATGGAGTGAAAAACAATGCAGAGAAAAAAGTATTTACCTTGACTGCTTCACATGTTAAAACAGATGAAGTAACTATCACTTCACGCCTGTAGGAAGAACAGAACAGGAAATACTATTGTCATAATAGTATAAATATTAACAAGAAAGCATTTATCACCAAACAATTTATGTGAAAGGATAAGCATATAGCATTTCCTTTACCAAAATAACAAGAAGTAGCAAAATAAACATAATAAAGAACTTCTTTGAGACAAGGAGGAAACAAGGAAAAAGGTGGAAACTAGGCCAGCCCTAGGGGCTTATCTCAATTTGAGTTTGTTTTTACGTTTATACATCCTACTTTATCTAAGAAATTGATATAATTCTTGCACAAAGCTTTGCTTGCTCATCGAGCCATCCCAATTGGATGTGGGACCATTCCTAACTGGATCGCTACGTAAGGAATTGATCCCCACATCTCCATAGGATTGAGCCAGCTCGAATTTCCTGGGACTGGAAAAGCTAAACCAGTTCTAGGCGCCTAACCAAGGCTGATTCAATATAACTGAGGCTGGGAGTAACATCACAACCAAGACAATTTTCTTCTAATTCTAGAACTTAGTTTTTATTTACACCAATGTGATATTTGATGAATTGCCTTTGACCGTCTGGCATATTATTAAGAAAGAGAGGACAATTTTCTTATGTTCCCACAAGGTACATGATATGGTAAGTCGGTAACCATTGTAATATCTACTGTTGGTTCAGAAAGTCCTTTTAGTCAAGGTAAGTTGCAACTAAGAAGGAAGAATTATGCTAGCTGGACCTAAGTGAGACGTGTTCACCAGTCATGTGTTAGAAATATTGGGTCACACCAGAAAGAAGAACCCAATATTTAAGAGGAGTTCAACTCCCAACAAGAATTCAACCAGAAAGATGATGAAGAATGGTGCAAGCAGAGCAAGACCAACAAAAATTTTCTATTTTGTATATATCGTACTTTATTTGATAAGTCGATAAATGAACACCAAGTGTCAACAGTATGTACAAGTTGTTCATATAACAGTCTGGGTCATCAATAGGTATATATGAGTTACCCGACCAAGTGTACAATATGGGATTTTTTCTTTCCACCAAAAATACAAGTCAAAGAAGAATGATCTTTTAATCTTTGCATGTCATTCTTATTATCTGAAACAATCTTCTGTTCCTTTCATTTCATAAGCAACAAAATAAACATAATGATGATGTTCCCCATGTTGCTTTCTTTCACTGCCAATTTTCTTTTGTCTCCAAGCTGGTGATAGATTCCTCTACTATTGTTGGTAACAACCACTACATACTGAACAATGGGAATGCAAAGGTCCACAGTTTTGTAACCTGCCTAATCGTCTCCGAAGTGTTTGTACAAGCAACACCACCTCACAAATATCATTCTTCTCTTTCTCAAATTATCAGATGGCGTCTCGTACAGCACACCAGGCAAACAAAGCAACTTCCTCTTGAGACTTAGAGACCAAATTTTTTTCACACCCCATTCTTACCTACCAACCTGACAACTCCTTGTAATACAATTTAAACATAAAATACTTCGCTCCCAACTCCCACCCCATATTATTAATTCTCCGTCCTTTCCCCGGTCACTTTTTTTATAAGGTAAGTTCCCTCCTTTCCCCATCATCTATTTCTGAGAAAAGATCCCCAATCTCCTCTTGATCCCAACTTGGATGGCCCTCCTAATGTTAATATCACAAGATGATCTCCTAATTATCCATTCTTAATAATCACATATCTTACCATCATTCTTGTTTATCAATCCGTATATATGCACTCTCAAAAGGTACCCATCAACCATAAATGCTTCTAAAACCTTTGCCTATTTGACAACAACATGAACAGTCTTATATTAGTAAGACTCACTCCCGATGGATCTTTTGGCATTCAAGCATGGTCCTACACACCTAGCTTAAACCCATTGTTTAGCTAGTACTATAAATAGGATTAATGTGGAGTCTATCCTTTATGATTTTTCGAAGAACTCTTTGGATTCCCAGTAAAGGCGGAGATCTTCTTTGATAATTTTCTTCCCTTATCTACATTATCTACGGGTCAATTGTTACTAACAAATTGAATAGTGTTAAATACCAATATGCACGAACAAATAATGCTTAGAATACAGTACAAGCACAACTATATCAACAAAAAAAAACTTGCATACTTCAACTAGAATTGAGATACAAATTAATATATTCAGAAAATAAAATTACATTCTACAAAAAAAAAACTGAAAATTAGATTAAAAATATAAACTGAAGAGTGAAGAGAGTATAATCTGAACCTGACAAAACGCTTGGATATAAGCGGCTGAGCACCATACTGTAAGGTGAGGAGCAAAGAATAAAACCACACTTTGCCGCCGGTTTTTGCCGCCGCCGGGTTCTCGGAGTTCACTTTTTTGGATTCCGTAGCAGCCATAACGGTTGACCCGAAATGTATACACGAATCGGGTCTGTTCCAATCGGATCCTTCGATTATTGCTGCTATCGAACTGGTGAAGGCTTCGCGTGAAGCTTTCTCTGCTGTTTGGCAATGGCGTCGGAAGGGTAATACGGCGTCGTTTGGAAGGTGACTTTGAAACTGACACTACTTTGAGTCTTCTATAATGGTTAAAGTTAAAGTTAAAATTAAAATTAAATAAAAAGACTTCTATTTGCCTAAGGAAGGAATATTTCAATTGAATTTGAAAAAGATAATGTATTGATTTTTTGGATTTTTAAAAAGGAAATAAAATTACAAGTAATTAGATAAATCATTTTTTATGCTACAATTAGGGTGAGTTTGATACAATAGATATCGAATTATCATATAGATATCAAACTTTTTGATATAAAGCTTCCAATGTTATGATATTCATGGTCAAGTATGGTGTTTGGTATGTATTTTAATTTTTTTGATATTCTATTTGATATTTTGTTTTAAAATAAAATAAAATATCAAAGTAGATAGTTATATATATAATTTATATATATTATTATAATGCTAAAAAATATATAATCTAATATCAGTACAAAATTATTGCTCCTGTTTAGATATTGGATTTTGACTATTCTATCTAACTGAAAAATAAACAAAAGAGAATTGTTTGTATTTTTTTTTTGGGAAAATGCATAAGTATCTCTCCTATGTCCGAAATCTCAGAGACACATTTATACTATACTAAGGTCCTATTACCCCCGAACTTATTTTATATATAATTTTCTACCCCTTTTCGGCTTACGTGACACTATCCTTGAAAAAATTGTCAACACGCGATGGGCCCGGAAGATAGTGCCACGTAGGCCTAAAAGGGGTAGAAAATTATTTATCAAATAACTTTGGGGGGGGGGTAATAAGACCTTAGTATAGTATAAGTGTGTCTCTGAGATTTCGGGCATATGTTGGGGTATTTATGCATTTTCCTTTTTTAAAAAAATATTTCTATATTAATAAAGTGTATGTTATTACATATTGTATAAATGAGATGGTATTTCTTGAAAAAATGGAAGTATATTGTTTATTGTATGAATATACGTCAATGGTCTAATTTGTGTATAGAAGTATCTGAAAAGACTTGGAAAGTAAAAAATATTATAGTATATAGTACTAATTTTTTAAACGCTGTTTAAGTAAATTGAGTTATATTTTTTTTTTCGTTTTATATTACTTGGTTTACGTTGATTAAATTTTAATTAGAGGTCTAACTTATTGAATTAATCATGTTTCGAAATTCTAAATTTGCCTACTACTATTTTGTGTAGTTATTAAATATTAAGGACGATATGGAAAAGAAGTAATAAAACTCTCTCAATTTGCTAAAAAGACCAACTAAAATAAAAAGATGGAAGTAAAAACTTGATCGAGAAGAAACGATGGCATGGCCTCTTTTAAGTCTTCAATCGAGAAATGGTGGTGAAAATCATTTACACCTCCCGAACTTTACTTTAAATATCAAACTCTCCTTCAACTTTGAGAAATTTCTCTCCCAAAAATAATCAAACTTCCCTCTCAACTTTAATTTGATATTATGACTTTACTGATATAAGGATCCGTGAAATTAAAACTCTGAAAAACAATAGGCAACAACATGAAGATGAACTATACTAAAAAAAAATATAACATACGAAAACAATTTTATGAGTTTACTAATACGAGAGGTATGCAAATGCAAATGATTCAAGCACAACACAAGGACTCAATATACTCAAAAGCACCAATTGTACTACAATAAAAAACTTGTTCATCTTCAACATCATAATCACAGAATTTCTCAAAGGTCTTGTTTATAAGATTGTACTTCATTACCTTATCATCATTAGGAGCTGCCAGAACCAAAAATGCATCCTCTTCTCGTTTACCTCGAACCAGAGATAATATCGTAAAATTATAATAATTCAACTTATAAGGATGATCAAAATCAATCTTGTACTTAACAAACCATTCAGAATCATCCCTTTTCATCTCGTATACATCAAATCGAACCGTGTAAAATGAAATTTTTGTGATGTGCAAATGGCCACAAGATTCACCAAAATATGCTATGGTTGTTCCTTGATCATCTGGAAAATGTGGCATTGGCCCTAACCTCTCAAATTCAAGATTGTAATATAAACAAGTCAAGTTTCCAATAGTACTAATCCAGTAAATTGATCCATTCCAATAAACCCCTTTGGAGAAATTAACATCAGCAATGAATGGATCACCTGATAGTCTCCATGGCCCTGTTTCGAGTTAATTTCACATGTGGTCATTAAACTTTATCCAATATAACAAAAAAAAAATAGCACAACTACTTTTTGTCTTTTACATATTAAGTGATGCTTCGCATAATTACATATTAAGTTAGTAAAAATATATATTACCTTCTAGTTTGTGACAAAAAGGTAGAGTTTAGTTAAAAAAATAATTTTGCAACTTTTTATATTTTAGTGAATACATATGAAATTCACAAACCTGTTTGAGATGAGTAAATTTCAATCTGATAATGTTGAGGAGACGACACAGAATCGCGAACACATATTACTTTGTAATGAGGAGACTTGGCAGGATCAAAAGCTAAGCTTATACCATGAATTTTACAATTTTCAGTTTCAAGAACTGATTTTGAAAGTACTGTGTAATGTTTCGTAGTGGGGTTGCAAACATAGTAATTTGTTTTAGCTAGACGCGAAGGGGAGTTGGAACAGAGCATTAGTCCATTGCAAGATTGCAGAACACTAATACCAGAAGAGTCTTTAATGAATTTGAGATTCTTAAATGGTGGTTTTGTGGGATTTTTCTTATCAAAATGAACATAATCAAACTGGGGTTTTGCTGGAAGAGAATAAGGACAGGTCAAGAAAAGGCCTATTGCGCGATTTGGATTGGGATGACAGAGGACAGAGAAATGTGGATGAGTAATGATTGAAAGCCAACGTTTGGATACGGTTTTCAAACAGAGAAGGGATTTTATAGGTATGCGTAAAAGAATTTCAATCAATAGATCATCAATCGAAACAACTATTCGAGCTGATGATTGCTGCTCTAAATCTTAAAATTTGGGGACCTTGAGTTTAATGCCTTGCATTTTTAGTAAAGTTTTATTTGTGTTGTGCAAGAATTGCTGGTGATGGATGCATGTTTAATATGTCAACATATAGGTAAAGATTGCGTAGGTAGTTTCATTATTTGATTAAGTTGACAAGGTCTATGATGTGAACAGATGATCTGAATTACATAAACGTGGTTTTTTACTTGACTTTAATTGGCAATTTTGTCCTCTAACTTTGGGTATGCATAAGTAGATACTTAAACTTAAATAAAATTGAACAAATAGACACATTCGTCTTATATGAGTCCTACATGACAATTTTGTGTCCTATGACGTCCTATACTTATTATGTCATGTAAGACATGTGTGTTTATTTGTTCAATTTTATACAAGTTTAAGAGTCTACTTGTGCACATTCAAAGTTGGAGGACATGGATCTCAGTGAACCCGAATTAAGAACATATTTACATGTTATGGCAAGTGTAGAGTAAAGTTTAATGTGATCATCTATGAAATTAACCAACCTATTTCAGTTGAGTGAATTTTACTGGGTAGAAAATAGAATCTGTGTGGATGATTAAGAAGAAATGTACAAATCTGTATTGGCTATCAATTATCATCATGTCATCAACTATACCAATTAATGAGTTTTTATAGAATATGAAATCATTTCTATTTAAAAGGGAATGATATTCTCAAAATATGTGGAAATAACAATAACAATATGAATATATGAGAACTAAGTATTCTCAAGAGTAAATGTTTTCACATTCAAAAGAGGAGAAAACTGAGATTGAGGAGTTTTTGAGTACTATCTCTTTTCAGAGAAATATTTTGAGTAATAATCTCAAACCAGAGGAAGAGTTATGTTTTTTAAACATATGAGCTAAGTATATTTTTGGGAATAGTATTGAGCACCGATATGGGGGAGAGATCAGATAACTCACAGCCCCCATAAACCATGTAGCAAACGTGGGTAGAAATGGTCATACTTTTTATATCTTAGTTTGTATATGAAAATACAAAATAACTTTGTGGGAGATTCTCTAACCGACAACTATCACTATGAGCTATGTGATGATACAACGTTTAGCCCACGCTGCCAGAACTATCCTATACTTTGCCGGGGTATAGGACCTACTCACTAAGTGGATCCACTAGTCTATGCTTAAAAGAACTAAGGAATCATCTAAAAAGTATGGCCCTTTCTACCCACGTTGGCTACATGGTTTATGAGGACTTTGAGTTATCTGAATTCATCCCCATATCGGTGCTCAATACTGTTATGGAATGGAAGAAACTAGAAAGAAAAATTAAAGAGAGAATGAATGATAACTCTTTGTATTGATTCTTGCATTGATTCAAATAGAAGAGTACATCCCTATTATAAATAATTAAGGGGAATCCTTCCTAAAGAAGAATCTTTCTAGATACTAAACTAAAGGAGAATCCTTCTATATACTAAACTAAAATAAAACTGAATATTTTGCAATTAATGTAAACCCTGGACTTAAAAATTAAATACTATAGAATACTTTAGACTAAAAAATTAAAAGTAAAAAGATTCTACCAAATTTCAACATTCCCCCTCAAACTCAAGTTGGTGTATCTAACTTGAGTTTGAACACTTAGTTATTCTTGAGAATATCTTCTCCTTTTCATGTTTTTTCCCAAGTTTCTTTTGTCGTTTCAAATACAATGATTTTAGAGAAGATTGAATTTGCAATTGAATTTTGAATTACAATTTTGGCTTTGTATATTATGGTTTTCCCTTCTGAGTGAAGTTTGATTTCAGGAGTGGAATAATAAGTTTTTTCAGAGAGTGATTGCATGAGTTTTTCTTCCATTACAGTTTCCCACAAATCATAAGCCTCAAGATAAGACTTCATCCTAACTGCCAAGATTTGATAATTTTCACCATTGAAGGTTTGTGGGGTATTGAAAGAAAGAGTCATGTTTGTCATGGTTTGAAAATAAGGTTTAAAATAGTATGGATTAAAATTGGTTATAAGTAGCCCTGAGTTAAAAATAAAAGCACGGGTTAAAATTGGCCCTGCGTTAAAAATAAAAGCACGGATTAAAATTGGGTTGAAAATATGTATGAAAATAAAGTGGTTGAAAGTTCTTTTTGAAAGAACTCACAGATCCATTAAGATCAATGGAATGCTCTGATACCACTGTTATGGAATGGAAGAAACTAGAAAGGAAAATTAAAGAGAGAACGAATGATAACTCTTTGTATTGATTCTTGCATTGATTCTAATAGAAGAGTACATCCCTATTTATAAATAATTAAGGAGAATCCTTCCTAAAGAAGAATCCTTCTAGATACTAAACTAAAGGAGGATCCTTCTAGATACTAAACTAAAATAAAACTAAATATTTTGCAATTAATGTAAACCCTAGACTTGAAAGAAAATTAAATACTATAAAATATTTTTAGCCAAAAAAAAAGAAAAAAAAGATTCTACCAAATTCCAACAAATACTACTCTCAAAAATATAAACTTAGCTCATATGTTTAAAAACATAAATATTTCTCTGATTTGAGATTGTTACTCAAAATATTTCTCTTAAAAGAAATAGTGCTCAAAACTGCTCAAGAACTCTTTCGAAAATCGGTGTTTTTCTCTCATCTTAAATGTAAAAATATTTACTCTTGGGAATACTTAGTTCTCATATATCATTTTGAAGAAAATAAACTCAACTCTACTCTTCTTCAAACTCAAATACTCAAGTCTTAAAACAAGTTTAAAAGATTTTGCAAAAGACTTCTCAAAAGACTCGAAGGAACTCTCAAGACTTAACTCTTAACTCTACCTTGAATTTGAATTATGGATTCAAGGGTTATGATATCATGTTATGGATGATCTCTCGATGTTTAGATGTAATTTAGAGTGTGGATATAAAGTAGAAAGCATAGGTACGATTCGAGGGAACTCATACGAAAAGAAGGATGAAAGAGTAGGGAACCTGGCGACCCTGGCGCACTGAGTGGCGCGGGGCACCAACCCCTGAATTACTGAAGGGGGGTTGGGGTGCACTGAGTGGCGTGGCGCCCCAAGAGAAAAACTACAGAACATCTTTTCTGGCGCAGCGCATCAGCCTCTGCCCAGAACTTCCCGACGAATTTTCTTTCTCGTTTTCTAACCCCAATTCGCCTAGAATTGAATGGTTTATTACCCACTCACTTAGATTCGAATACCCATCATAAGTACACGATAATCTACTCAAAACAAACCTTAAACTACTAACACTTATCTCAAGAATTCATCAAAAACCAACAATCAAGATTGCAAATGAAATTTCAAGAAAACTCTTCAAGAACACAAATCCTTCAACTTCAAGAACGAAATTACACTGAAAATAGCATGATTGGCGTGTGGGTGAACGAACCCAACACTATGAGAACTCACATACCTCTTAGGATCGAATCCTTGGCGAAAACCTTTCGAAAATCTCCTGAATCTTGACGTACACTTTGAACTTTTCTCTCTTTCTCCTCTTCTTGAACTCCTCTCAAAACCCTAAGCGTATTTGGGATTTGTAAAAATGACCCAAATCAGATTTAACCCCAAAATATTACTAAAAATCGTTTTAAGCTAAACGGGTAAGGAAAAGATCAAAATACCCCTCATTAATTCGGGTAACTTTCCTTAACTGGACAGACATATTTCAAACGGTCATATCTCTCTCATCCGAACTCAGAACTTAGCAAACTCGGTGTCGTTGGAAAGAGGATTTCAAGACCTTTCATTTGATATCTTATGGGCTACCTAACTCATCCTGTACTGAAAGTTATGGTCATTTGAAGTTGACCCAAACCTCACAACTTAAGCATAACTTGAAATTTTTTCAGATTTAGCTATTTCCAATTTAGCGATTTCTAAAATTAGCTCTTTCTAAGGCAGGATGTTACAATACATCACTGTACGCGATGTATCGGTTGGATATATCACTTTACGCGATGTATCTAGATGTTACTTTACGCGATGTATCAGGACGTTGAGTGATGTATCCAAAACCGAGACGTGATGTATCAAGACGTTGCGGGATGTATCCGAAATCGGGTGCGATGGATCAGGATGGTTTAGGATGTATCCGGATTATACCAAATTTAAGGGAATTTTGTAATTTGAAAAGGAATAGGAATAGGATTAGGGTAGTTTAAAACCGAACCGAATCCAATAACCCGGACCAAGAAAAAGTTATTGGTTTATCAGTAATGACTTACTGATTTAGCGATTTTGATAACGGTTTTGATATTTTTTGTTATCGGGTTATCGATGCTTAACAATTTGAAGTTTTTTCTTAACGGGCAAACCGATAACCCGATAGTAAATTAAATAATTATATTAATACCATTTTTTTAAAATATAAAGTCATTGACTTAGAGTTCAGTTTTCTACTTTTATTTCTGGTTGTCTCAAACTCTTGGTTATTCTACAATGTAAAAGTGTTTGCTTTTGAGCAAGATGCAACTTGTGAACTCATGTGCATGGTTCATTTGGTTTGTCACCTTGTTTCTAAGTGATTTTTCAATATTTTTTTGTGTCAACTCATAACGGTTAAACCGATAAATGAACCAATAACGATCAATAATCGATAAACCAATAACTGATAAGTCAATATCTTAATGGTTCTATAACGGTTTAGCATCTCTACAAATTGATAATCAATAAGTCAAACCAATAAACTTCAAAACCGATTTGAACCGATCGACACACAACTCCAAATAGTGTGTAATTAGCTCTTAACACTATTGAATTTGTGTAAAATCTACATAATTGTATGTAATGCCACGTTATTATAAAATTAAATATATGATTAATTGGTTTGAGAAATATAAGCATTACTAAGTTAAATTGGTCACTGCATTCAATATTGATTGAATTATATACAATATCTAGTCTAAATTAAAAATCAAATCAAAAGACATTAAAAAGCTAAAAAATAATAATAAAGCAACAATAAATTCAAA